ATAAACCCATACCATTCCTTTTAACATCTTTGAGGTTTTCTATCATGTGACCATACCTCATTATGTTTATCCACTCCCCTATTAATGGCCACCTTCTTTGTTTCTGGCCTCATGATACCCATTTATCTTCTGTGTGTATTACCCAGGGCCATTCTATTTTCCGGCTATTTGCACATAGTATATTCAGCCTTGACCCCATCTGACCTCTGACTCCACAGCATTTTAACCTTTTAACAGCAGACTCTAATTGCCAATTTGTAAGATATATAAGAAGCTGAAAAACATGTTAAGCCACACCAAAATAAGGCAATCAGCAATATCCTGCAAAGAATCCATAGGATAAATGAATGTTTCCTTTAACAAAAACTGTGAGGGAAAAAAGAGATGAAAGAGGAACCTGTAACTTCATCACAAAAAACTGTGCTTCAAAGAACAACAGCAAAAAAATAAAAGGACAACTCACAGAATGGGAGACAGTTTTTGTAAATACACTGATAAGGGGTATATGGGGGAATTACATAGGGCTCTTACAGCTCTGCCATAAAAAGACAAACAAACCAATTAAAAGTGGACAAAAGGAGCTAGGGATGTGGCTCAGTGGTAGAGTGCTTTCCTAACATGCACAAGACCCTGAATTCAATCTCCAGGACCACATACCCAAAAAAAGGCAGAAGATATAAATTGACATTTCTCCAGTGAACTATATGATTGGCCAATAGCCACATGCAATGCTTACCACTAGTCATTAGGGAAATGCAAATCAAAACCACAGACACCACTTCACACCTACTAGAATGTCTATTATTAAAGACTATTGGAGGGGCTGGGGATATAGCTCAATGGCATAAGCACCTGCCTGGCAAGTGCAAGGTCGTGAGTTCAATCCTCTGCACAGCAAAAAAAAAAAAAAAAAAAAAAAAGACTATTGGAGATGATGTGGGAAAACTAGAACCCTGGTATACACTGGTGGGAATGTAAAGTGCTGCAGCCACTCTGGAAAACTGCCTGACACAGCTCCTCAAATGGTTAAACAGTTACATTCAGCACTAAAATTCCAGTCTTAGATAAATCAAGAGAAATGAAAACACGTGGCTACACCAAAGCTTACATGTTAAGTTTCACAGCTGCAAACATCCAAAATGGGAGCAATCCAAATGCCCATGAGCTAATGAATGGATATAGCAAATGTGCCTGACCCATACAAAAGAATATTATTCGGCCACAAAAAGAAATGAAGCACTGACAGAGGATACAACATGGGTGAACCTTGAAAACATTATACTTAGTGAAACAAGCCAAACACATAGGTCACATATTATATTATTTCATTTATATGAACTATCACAATAGGCAAATCTATAGAAACATTAAGTAGATTAGTCATCATGGGGTACATGAGGACTTACTTCTAATGAGTTTGGACTTGCTTTATGAGGCAATAAAATATTCCAAAAGTGATTATACTTATGTTTGCACAATTGTATGAATATATTAAAAAATAAAAAATGAACTAAAAAAGTTTCTTTTAAGAAGACTTCAAAGATTTAAAAGATAGCCCAATTGGTACTATATAAACTTAGATCCTGAGTTTTAAAAATACACTATAAAGAGCTGGGAGTGGTGGCACACACCTGTAATCCTAGTACTTGGGAGGCTGAGGCA